GGGAAGTGAAGGAGGTGGAGGTGTGTGTGGAGGATAGACGTGCTGCTCCTACCCATCATGTGAACGATCCTGGCGGCCATGGGTGACCGGGTGAAGGTCGAGGACGCCATATCCAGCTGTGTTGAGGAGGGAGACGGTAACAGAGGCAGAGGCGGATGAGGAGGCGGAAGGACGTGAAGGAGGGCAAGAGAAAGGCGGAGAAGTGTTGGTGGACAAGGAGCAGTAGGAGTAGGGAGACGAGAAGTAGGAGGAGGAGTAGGTGGAGCGGAAGCAGCAAGTCAATCATCGTGCCGATCTGGCAAGGGAGAGGAAGTAGATACCGGCATGGAAGAGCTTGATGGCGATCTTGTTGGCCTCCTGCATGCGAGGATCGTTCATGTACCTCCCTGGCCTCTTGCTGAAATCCCAGCTCCTGCAGGCATCAGGTCATCCGGCTGGACCTCTTGTCCTCCAGCATACGCGTCCAGAGTCGAGTCATGAAGCGCTTCCCCTGTCCTCCAAAGGATCTGCACTCGTGCCGTGAGTCAACGGGGAAGTGGATCAAGAAAAGGAAAAATGAGAAGGAGAGGCGGAGGACAAGAAGGAGCAGAGGAGATGGAGAGGGAAGAGTAAAGAAGAGGTAGAAAGAGGGGCAGAAGGAGAAGGACGAAGGTTTCCTTACCGTGCCATTGACTCCCTTGAGAGCTTCAATCAGCACCTTCAAGTTCTCCTCGTAGTCTCCCAGCGGAGCCTGCGAGCAGCGGGCGCGTGAGATGGGGAGCAGCGCCGGCCGCGAACCTTGAGAATGTCAAAGATCTGACTTCCAAGAACAATCACGTCCTCCTCCTCTGGCGCCTCCCTGCTGATCGTGTCTAGGAGATCGTGGATTGTGCTGTTGAACTTCAGGCGCCCTGTGCCTGCCGCGACTTCCTCTCAGGCCTCGGGGCTCCTCCACTCCCTTCCCTCACGTTCGTCGGTGATGCCCAGCGGAAGCTCGGCGAACGGCTGGTGATCGGCAAACCTCGCAAACCAGTGGAAGACGATCTTGGGGGGGCCAGGGAAGACTAGGTCCTCGTGCTCCTTGATGGCGTTGCCTGTGGCGGAGGGTGAGGAGGGAGGGAGGAGGAGGAGCATTGCTCACATGTGGAGTTGAGGAGGCAGACAAGGTCGTAGTACATGGTGCGAACGAGCGATGTGCCGGAGAGGAACAAAGTCGGAGGCTTTCCTCCCTTGCCGACGCAGCGCTTCAGCTGTGAAGCATCAGGGTGAGCAAGCAGGGGAGGAGGAGGGAAAATCACGTCCGAGCCGTTGTAGGGGCGGAGGACACATCGATATGGAACCCAAACCCAAGGATCGGCACGCGCTCTGCGTTTGATTCAGAATAAGAGAAAGGACGGCAGAGAGGAGGTGACGTGAGGGGAGAGGAGAGATGGATGGAAGGAAGGGAGAATTGGGGCATGGTGTGGAATGGAGGCTCACGATAGGAAGGGAGGATGGAGAGAGAGAGAGAGGGATAGAGGGTCGAGGGAGGGATGGGATGGGAGGGAGGGAAGGATGGGAGGGGAGGGAGGGGAGGGAGGGGAGGGAGGGGAGGGAGGGAAGGGAGGGATGGGAGGGATGGGAGGGAGGGAAGGGAGGGAAGGATGGGATGGGAGGGAGGAAGGGAGGGAAGGGAGGGATGGGAGGGAGGGAGGGAGAGGAAGGGGGAAGGACGGTCACCCATCATCATCATGCTGGTCAAATCTTTGAGATTCTATACCCCCACAGTAGTCTCCGTGCCACTGGCAGACATCCCTCCTCACCCACCTCCCCCCACCCCACAGGTAAGGATCCGCAGCACTTGCTCTGCCCTTGCACAGACCCTGAGGCTGCTTGTTCGGCCCACCGTCATCCTCCCGCTGGCTCCACCCCTCTTCTACCTCCTCCACCTTCTCCACCATCCTCTGCCCCTCCTCGTCATCGTCAACCAAGACGGTGAAGGGACTTCCATAGATGTGCTGGTTGACAAAGAACCGAGGAATCCCCTGACCTGGATCCGCGATCCCGCTGCCGCTAGCATGCAGGAGCAGGATCTGATGAAACAGGAGGTTAACCCATTGCACATGTCACAGACAGCTTACGGTAGCAGTGTACAACCCCGGCTCCCTCGGGCGCCATGTGACCAAGTACTCCCCATCCGCCCTCTCCTCCACCTCCCCCATCACAATGGCAGGCCCCGAAAACCTTGCACGGAAGAAATGAGCTGAGTAAGGCGTGCCGTCGGCGTCGGCGACTGTGATGTTGAACCTGATATAGCAAGGGAGCCCTCAGATGCCGCCGGGGGATGGACAAGGAGGAGACTCACATGCATGCTCGACTTGCAGAGCACTTGGACGCGCTCGCTAGGTCGATTCTGATGTCGTTAACCCACTTCCAGCCATTCTTGACCCAGATGCTCCTCGAGTCCTGGCGGCAGCAACACCCTCAGAGGTGCTAGCAGAGCAGGGCTTGCCCTCCTCCACCTTCTCGTGTGCGAAGCCGTCCTCATCCACGATGTTGATCCGAATGTTGTGGCGCCCAACCACCAGCCCAGGCACTGCGACAGTCAGAGTCGCGTGTTCGTTGACTAGTGCCTCTCTCCCGTTGATGACGAGCTGCACACGCCATCCCGGAGGGAGCGATGAGATTTCGTACCTGTTACATGATCATCATGGTGACTTGAGGCAGATGGTATGATGTCACTTGATTTGGACAGATTGGTCTTCGTAGAAAACTTCATCCTTGGACGGTAAATCGACGTGGACTCGCACGTCTTCAACATCGATCTGTGATGATTCCGTGGTAGCAAGGAGAACCGCGAGGGAGATCAAGATGAGGGAATTGATAGAAGTCATAGAAGGGAACGCAGACAGCCAGGAGCAGTACGAGGGAGTAAGTATAGCCAAACTGACTGTAACTAGAAGCGTTGTAAAGCAGGATAGTTTTCTTGCTGCAAGTCAGGTATGAAACTAGAGCTAGGGATTGAGGGAGTGGAGTAGGAGCACTACATGGGGAAGGTCAGAGAGAGGAGGGGGAGGCAGAGAGAGGAGGGGGAGAGAAGGGGAGGGAGAGGGAGGGAGGGATTCTGCATTGCGAGCCTTTCCAGACATGGATATGAATAAAATGGGATCGATGTCTCAAGTTTCCGACCCGGCCGGGCCCGGCCCGGGCGGCACATGAGTAGTGACTCAGTTACTCAACTTGAAGTATACGGTATCATAGTACGGCGAGCTCGACGCGGCGCGGCCGATGATGTCGTGACGAAAGCCATGATCCTGGACCGGATGCCCTCGGATCTTCCTCTGTGCTGCTGCCATACGCTATGTTGAAGTTTGCTCAGTCCGAGCGGCGGCCGACACGATCGGACTTACCGGGTCCGACCTGGCCGAGCCGCTAAGTTTTAGCAAATAACCCGGGGCGGCCCGGCCTGTAACTGAGGCAGTCATTTTCAGCGCCTTATGAGCCTCACTGGGACTGAATGTGACAAGGATGAGGGGTACACTCAAGATCACTACGGGTACTTTCCATGTTGTGATGAGGGGTGTCCAATAGGAGAGTTGCCAAATTCAGGGGTCCTCTGTTACACGGTACATGAGTGAGCCCTGAGGTCTATTTCCGCTCAGCCGCTCAAAACTTCCGGAGGGGGGCTCTCAATATACTAATATGACTACCCCACCCAGTGAATGAGCTGGTTCGATGAGGGGTATTTTTAAGTTTCATCACAATGAATCGATACCCCGGCGGGAGAAACTGAAGTCGGAGCGAAGAACATGTCGGAGGAGGCCCCGCTAGTCAAGGATATCTCCAAGAACATCCCCAAGGATCTCGACTGGTGAGAGTGAGCGAGTGATCACTTGCGAGCAGGAAGAGACGGAGAGAGAGAGAGGAAGAGGACGGAGAGAGAGAGAGGAAGAGGAGGTTCTACTGAGAGGACCTGGCGAGTGAGAGAGTGAGCGATTGCGATAGGGGGAGACAGGCATTGATTGTGTGATAGAGAGGACGACTAGTGAGAGAGGACGACTCGTAAGTGAGAGTGCGAGAGAGGACGAGCGTGCTTGTGTGCGAGGATACGTGCGAAGTCAAAGCACTGGCGGCATGCCCTTGGACAAATTACGGGCCAGTTGGCGGAGAATCTGAAGTATGGTGTCGTTGCAGGAGCGAGACTATCTACCCTCAGTTTGTCAAGGACGGTTTCGTGACCGCAACCAATGTCGTCAAGTCCTCCGCTCAAGTCGTCGGTGCTGAACTTGACCAACATTATTGTATCATCGTTCTAACTGTAGTTCCAGGCCAGGGTGCTGGGGCTGTCGGTATATTTTCATCCTCATTCGCAGACATTCCTTGTATCGTATCTTGAAACTTGTGCCTGATCAGGTGGAGCTGTTGCTGGCGGCGTGAACGCTGTCGGTGGTGCTGTCTCAAACACTGCTGGTGCCGTCACGAGCTTTGTCCCCACTCCTCCCACTTTCAACGCAGCACCTGCTCGCTGGGGCGGCAGTGAGCCCTCCATTGAGGAAAGGACTAAGGCAGACATTGCTGGATGGTTGGAGAAGGTCAAGCTTGAAAGCCTTCAGGCCGATTTTGCCAGTGCCGAGGTAATCTTGTTGTGATGCTAGTTGAATTCCTGCGCGTTGCTTGTAGGATCGATTTCCCTCTCCCTCTAGTGGATCGGAGCTCTGATTGAATGGTTGTAGGTCGATGGTCCTGCTCTTGCCGCCATGGTCCAGACTTGGGAGTCCGACAAGCTTGGTACGCGAAGGAACCATGGAACGATGAACTCTGTTGATTTCCTGGGATTAGGTTTCGTCAAGTATGCTCAGGAGAATCTTGGATGCAAGAAGCCTGGACAGGCCTTCCGTTTGGGTAAATCCAAGACTGAAGTTATGGGATGATGCTGATTGCATACGTGCTCCAGGATATTCTCTCTCCAGACTTCACGCGTACAAGGTCGGTTTGCTCTCAGATTAGATTGCACTATCGCCCTTGTGGTGGTGACTATTGTCTTTAGTGGCCCAAGAAGGAGGAGCCTGAGAAGCCCAAGGACGAGAAGCCACAAGCAGGTACGCCCTTCTCGTTGCTCCGGTCACCTCGCCGCCTTGATCCTCATTGACAGAAGCAGCAGCTGAGTCCGACGTCTGAACGGGACGTAGCAGCTCGCGCTCTGTGTAAAATCTATTTGCGAGAAGAGCAGGCACTTCATGCATGTTCTGGAATGATTCAGCATTAATCTTCATTGAATTATTTTGTACTGTTATAAACCGACAGTCGTCATTCGGGGGATCCAAAAGCTGCCAGGCATTCGGAGAAGTGTGATTCATATCTGTCTCGTTCTCTGCCGGCATGTCAAGTCACTCAAGAGCGCGACAGAAAACTTCTTGTTTCAACTTGCATCCCAATATCGGATATCTCAAACAACGTATCATCCGTGCATCGTCGGATCGAAAACTGTTTCTAGCAAGATCTGAACATTCTCACTGTCACACTGAAGTTACACCCATGTTCTGCTTCTCTTTTCGCTCCTCTTTCAGTCTGAGTCTCTTAATCCCATCTCGTCTCGCTCCTCCTCTTGCTCTCCTCCGCCTCCCCTCCCCTCCGTTTCCTCCCATCCTGCCCATTGAACGGCTCGGTAAATTTCCCGTAGACCTTGTCGCAGGTTCATTAAGGAGTACCGGGTACTTTCTAACATTAGATGGGGGTGGGGTACTTCTCTGAATTGCACTCCGAAATGGCGGACTTCATGACGTGGCCAAGGAAGGAGTAAGCAGAGAGCAGGGAGAAGGGAGCAAGAGCAGAAGTCAGGATCAGACAAGAGGGGGAGGAGGAGGAGGAGAAGGAGGAGGAGAAGGAGGGGATAGCTGTCACGAGACCAACCAAGATTCATCTTGCTCGTCCAGCGCCTTCTGTTTTGGTGTGTTGGAGGAGGAGCAGGCGATGAATTGAACTGTGCACAAGACATTGAGGAGCATCCGAGGTCTAGCAACATGTTGAGATGGCGGCGGCTTGTCTTCTTGGCCGGCGTCCTTGTCGTGTTTGGGTTCATCAACCTGATCATGCTCTCTAGCCTGTCCGACGACCCAGCGCTCGACGTCCGCAGGCACGAGCACTTCCTGAGCCCCTCGGAGGGAGGGCGGAGGAGCTTCAGGGACCGAGCGAAGATGGCGATCCAGAGCATCCTGAAGAGGAGCACACGGCGAAGAGCCGTCATTGTGACCAGCCTGCCCCTCGACCACAGCGTCGGAGCCCTGCTGCATGTGCTGGTGGAGAACGGGTTCAAGACCAAATTCTGCCGGGAGGAGGTGAACTCCTGCCTGGCTCCTCCTCCGGACGGGCAGGTGGTGTACAGCTTCGCATGGCTGAAGCGGGAGGGGCATGAGCTGGCGGAGAGGGTGAGGGGGTCGGTGGTGACTATCAACTCGTTCGGGGCCGGGTGGAAGATGTGGAGCAGGCGATCTCTGTGCTTGGCGAGCAGCAGGAACGCGCGCTGGTTCAACGGATCCTCCGGCTACATCGACTGGCATCCCCCGTGTTTCAATTTCCCTGCGCGGGCTGAGGACGTGTACAAATTGAAGGGATCGGAGGTGAGGGGAACATTCAGCGACCGAGAAGAACACTGTCTTGCTGTCTTGCTGTCTTGCTGTCTTGTCATATTTTCTGCTTTCTCTAATCTCTTTTGTTTACTCTTCTTCTTGACTTCGTGTCTTCTCTTCACTTCTGTTCGTCTTTCCTTCTTCCCTGCCAACTTCGCTTCTCCAGCATACCATTTCATATCATGTCTCAAGCCGTGTTGACCTGACCCGTCGTTCTCAGAAACCCTGGATCCTTCACAGTTCAAGTCAACCCAAGAAGACTTTGTTTCGGTCAGGGTGAGTTGTTCTCCGTGGTTGATCATCCAGCGTTACGTTAAACCGTTCCCTCCAGTTCTGAGGCCATCGAAAACGTACAAGTCGGCGTGTTGCAGGCAAATACTGCCTGTCTAGCCTGCCTGCCTGCTGACAGCAATGTGAAGGAGTACATCTCAAGCCCGCTCCTGATCTACGGCAAGAAGTTTAGCCTGAGATTCTACGTCGCTGTGAGCTCAGAACGATCAGTTGTGTGAAGTTCCATGACAAGGAGGGCAGGTCACGTCGTTGAACCCTCTGCGCTCCTACATCTTTGACGACGCCAACGTTGCGCTTGCTCGTGAGGCCTTCTCGGTGAGACGAGGACGTCCTGACCGTCCTGACCGTCCTGACCGTCCTGACGGTCCCCGTGGCTGCTAGGGAGCGAGCGAGGAGGGGCACAGGACCTCGGAGGTGGAAGGAGACGCGAAGATGGTACATGGGCAGTTGATGGGGAAGCGACGCGTTGACTGGAAGTCCCTGCCGCAGTTGACGTGGAGGGGCAGAAGAGCGTGCTGGAGTACCTGAACGCGTCGGGACTTGAGGTGGAGGAGAGAAGGGGAGGAGGAGACGCTCAATGGGGCCTGGCAGGTCGGGGACCTCGAGAGGAAGATCGAGGAGAGGATCGCCGTTGCTGTGCTATCCGCCTGCACCCTCCACTCGTCCCCTGTTGATGTGAGACAGGAGGAAATGACTACTTGCTTCTCTTGACTGATACGTCAACTCCCCTCCCTCCCTACCTCCCTGCCTGCGTGCCTCCATCCCTCCCTCCTCTCGCTCCCTCTCGCTCCCTCTCCGCCCTCCGCCCTCCGCCCTTGCTTCCTCTCTCCCTCTCCGCCTTCCACCGCCCATTTCTTGGTCTCCCTTGCACTTTTCCTACAGGGTGCTTCTCGCTTGCGACGCTTCAAGCTCCTGGCTGTACATGTCTTGATTGATTCTTCTCTTTCCCCGTGGGTTGTCAAGGTGAAGAATCTCCTTCATCATCTCCTATATCACTCCTGCATTGTTCTTCTCTCAGCTGACGAAAGGGCCTCCTGTCCTCACTTCTTCTCCTCTCTTCCCTCCTTCCCTCCTTCCCTCCTTCCCTCCTTCCCTCCCCCATCTCCTCCTCCTCCCCACCCGCCCCCTTCCTTCCCTCTTCTCCTCTCCCCTCCTCTCCCCTCCTCTCCTCACTCCCCTAACACGTTTGCCCACTGCTTCAGATCGACCCCTCCCCCAACCTCAACGTCCGCAGCATCTCAAAACCATCGGCGAAGCCACTGCAAAAGGCCTTCAGAAAGCTGCTGGCGGCACAGGAAGACCGCAAGAAAATGTCCTGGCTGACTCGTTTCAACACCATCAGACTTTTCTCGCGCATGAGACAAACAGGTCTGAGACAACCCTCCTTCTTCCTCCTTCCTCCTCCCTCCCACCATTCTCTCCTCTCTCCTCACTTCCTCCTTCCACCCTCTTCTCCCTCCTCCCTTTCTCTCCCCTCCCGTCGTCTCTTCCTCCCTCCTCCCTCTTCATCCCTGCTCAACCATCCACCACAGCCGAGATGAAGGACGACGAGTTCACTCCAGGAACCAAACTTCGGGTCAGCTTGCACGTCTTGCAACAGAGTCTCTGACTGCTGACGGTCAGGTCGACATGCTGAGTGGACTACTGAAACTTCTCGACGTCCATGGCATCTCCCCGTCTCCTAAGAAGAGACTTACAGAGGAGCTGCTCTTGACCTCCCTTGAGAAGAAGGTCGACGACTTCCCCTCTCTGTACCTCTGCTTTCTCGCTCCCTTGACCCCTCCTATTTCCTTCCTGAAATTTCTCCGCTCCCTCTCCCTCACCCTCGGCGCTCTCTGCCTCTGCCTCTGCCTCTGCCTCTGCCTCTGCCTCTCCGAGGTTTCCTCTCCCCCCCTCCCCTCATCCTCTGCTCTGCCTCTGCCTCTTCCCCCTCTGCATCCATCTCCATCCTCTCTTCTCCCCTCCCGTGCATGCCTCCTATCTTCCTTTCATCCCTCCCCCCACCTCCCACTTGCCGCCCTGACGTCACTTCAGATCTCCTCCTGCGTCAACAAGTCCATCGACGAGATGACGTCCAAGAGCAGCGAGAGCAGCGCGAGGAAGGTAACGGGCCGGATGGACTGCCGTCTGTGCCATGACAGGCTTTCTCCCGCAGCAGGTGTCAGGCAAGCAGATCAGCGCCATTGTAGCCTTCGAGCAAGAGAGGAGGAGGTTGAAGGGGCGGGGGGTGGCGAGCTTTGTTTCCCCGGGAGGGGGATATGCGGAAGATTCGCAGGCAGGTGTCTTCGAGGAGGAAGGACCTGTTCCTGCAGTGGTGGATCCTTCATCAGAGGTCACGATGTTTTGCGAGTGCGGGTCAAACTTGATCAAGCTGTTATGCTGCCTTTCCTTGTTTCAAGTATGATGTTTCATGAATCTTCCATGTTAGCAATCATTGTCTTCTAACTTTACTCTGGAGCTCGCTGGCCCCTCGATCAACTTTAGCTTGTACCTGCTTCCCGCTCCCTCCCTCCCTCCCTCCCTCTCTCCCTCCCTCCCTTCTTCCTCCCCCTGCTCCTGCTCCTCCCCCTGCTCCTCCTCTTCCTCTTCCACTCCCTGCAAGGCCTCGTCCTTGCCGTCGTACTCCCCTTGCGATCCTTCTACCTCTGCTCCTCCTCCTACCCCATCACGTTTCCTTCCACTCGTTGAACCTTGACATATCATCAACACAACTTCGCTCTTCCCCTCCCCTCCTCTTACCACTCACTGTCGCTCATCAGCTCCAACACCTTCCTTGTTGGACCCTCTGTGACAATCTGAGCAACATGGTACAGTTCCTCCTCCTCCTCCTCCTCTCACCTTGAGCCAAGTCCGCTCCTCCCCACCTCGTGATGTATGCTGGAGGACCAGTCTGTTTGCATTGTTTAGGATCATGATGATGATGTTTGGATGATGATGATGATGATAATGATGATGATGATGGTGGTGGTGGTGGTGGTGGTGGTGGTGGTGATGGAATGATGGAAATGGTGGCGGCGGCGGTGGTGATGATGATGATGATGACGACGACGACGACGATGATGATGATGATGATGATATGATGATAATGATGATATGAAGAAGAAGATGATATCTTGATGATAGTAGATCTGAAGATGGCGAGAAATCCCTCACATCAGGTTCAGCATAGAGAGCAGAAACGTTGGAGGCCGCGAGGAGTTCCATCTCTCTCAGCTCTCTAGCGCAGGAAGGAAGTCAAAAACATCTTGGCCTTGAAGAGCTCCAGTACCTGTCCCTGTAGTACTTCTCCTTCAATCTCGCCGCATCCTCCTCGCCATGAACTGACGACTGTCAGTCACGCGCTGAGAGACGAAGAGGAGGAGATCACCTGAGCTTCGCAGTGCTGTACGCCCTCCTCCTTCGTACCGTGCACCAGAGCGCAAACTACGTGGAAGGGGGCGCGAGCTCAGGAACGCATGGGCTGCCGGCGCAGGCAGAGAGGAGGAGGAGGAGAGGGAGGAAGTTAGAGCAAGCAGGACAACCAGGAACGAGCAAGGGAACGCGTAATGATGAACTCTCGCAGCCCCTCGAGCCTCTTCCCCCTCCTCCATCGCGTCTCCACCACGGTCCCTAAGGACTTCGCTGATTCCGCCAAACGCCCCCTTTGCCCCCTTGTACCCCTTTTCTTCCCCCCCTCCCTGAATCCCCGCCGCCGCCGACTCGTCCTCCTTGGATCTGCCAGCCCTCCCGCTTCTCGCTCTTTCTCCCTCCTCCCTCCTCCCTCCTCCCTCCTTCCTGCATGTCTTCTACAGCTGTATGGCGAACATGTTGGCCGACAACTATCGTCATGGTCGCGTGCATGGCGGCAATCCAGGCAGCAGGAGCGGCTGCGCCTTCCCATCCTCCAGCCTTCGTTCTTCGCGCCCCCTCGCTGCATGGAGCACAAGTTATCAACCGGCGGAGGTCACAGAGAATGGCGGTGACCGCCATAATGGAAGGTGATGGCGGGGGAGGCGGACGGAGGAGGGAAGGAGGGTGACGCTTGTGGAAGCAGAGGAGGTGAAGGTCAAGGCCTGACAGCGGGTCTCTCTGCCAGTGTACTCGGTCTGCTCAGGGCAAGGGAGCCGAGCGAGCATGAACATCGCAACGTACGTCAGGTATCCGCCATGTGTGTCAGGGGGTGCGAAACTTACCCGGTCATGGCCAGCGCCGCCTCGATCCCCCGCGAAGGGCAGGCGCCCATGTACTCGGTCGCGCTCTTCAAGACCTCGGTGTCGTATGAGAACGTGAAGGCAAGCGGGGAGATGCTGCTGCAGCTGCTGAGCAAGGAGCAGGTTCAGGCTGCGAGGGTACGAACATGAGAGCTGGCTGACTCTTAGAGCCTGCAGTCGAACCTCGTTGAGACCCTCGGGAGGAAATCAGCTCGTGACGTCGACAAGCTTGAGGAGGCGATGAAGCTCGGGTACCAGGTCGGATACCACGATGACATCCCCTTCATCGAAGAATCGCTCTTCGTGTGCAAGCTCCAGGTGTCCTCCTGCCCCCCAAAAAAGCCCCCAAAGGGAGATAAGCTTGGAATAAATGTTCTTGCAAGGAGAATACGGAGGCCCATGTGTTTTATCTGGTTGATGCAATGATAAAGAACATCCAACATCGTTCGACATGCTGCCACGGATATTACGAAACACGCCCCCTATCGCAATCTCGACGTTCTAGTCGAAAGAGATGGGCGTGACGTGGCTATTCGTTCGTGCCTAGGGATGATAGGTCACACGAGGATGTATACTTTGGATAAACTGCTCTAATC